ATTTTCAATGACTACTTATTTTTGTCCAGCTTTAACATCGGTATCGATATCGGTTATCGGCTACATGAGTTTTAAAATATCGGCATATCGGATATCGGCCAAAATCCCAATATCGTGCATCCCTACTTATAATTACTGTTATTCTCTGTCATTTAATAGGGGTGTAAATAATAATCGTTTTGTATCGATGCGTCGATCCAACAGCCGACGATCCGATGCATAGATATGTGTTTTCCTCCGGTCTATTTTTATCCATTTGCTCCTGGGCGTAATTCTCCCTCCCGTGCTACGGTGGCGCTAAACCTATTTTGCCCTCCTACCTCGCTTCCTGGTTATACTCTTACAGCAGTGTGTTGCAGTAAGCTTGACACAGACATTTTTGATTTATGCTCAATATTGAAGCGTGGTCTGTGCTACACGCTGTGGGTCTAGATACGGCCGAGGCGGCGAGGAAGTGGGGGCGAGTTTAGTCCGACGACGGAGGGACATGAGGGCCAAAAAGAGCGGAGATCCAGGTGGAAAAAAGGTCCCAGCGTTCTCGCGCACCTCGCTCTTCTAGCGGGCCAAACTTCACGAGTTGTTTTCCGCAACTTCGGTCATAAAAACAAAACAAGCCGGCCTCCTGTCTGCGGCACTGTCTGCGGTCAGCTACAATTTGGGAGAGGTGCAGCGGAGCGTCTGCGGAGGGGGCAGGATGTCTGGAGCAGAGGTATTGCATTGCACTCATTGCACAGGTTTTGTGCAGTATTTTTGCAGTTTTTATTGATGCAACGTTTCTACTTCTGTTATTTGCTGTTGTTTCTCAAAAAAATGCATAAAGATATTACAGCTTTCATTGATTTATTTCAAATTTGAAACATTGTCTAACCTGTAAGATGTAAAAAAAAAAAAAAAAAAAAAAATGAACCAATTAATCGAATCGTGGTGTATTCTTGAGTATCAAAAATAATCGAATCGTTGGGTCAAGAAATCGATACTGAATCGAATCGCCATGATGGATGTGATTTACACCCCTATCATTTAACATGCTGGGTGTGGAAATGTTGGAAGCCTTTTGGAGTTTAGCTAAGGAAACTGGAACCTGATCAGTTTATTACAAATTCCTGAAAAGTGTGGAATGGACACAGCTTCACTGCTGCTCGCAGCAGAGTACCTCAAGGAAATTAGAAAATACCTCTAGGCTCCATCTCAGAACTTAACCAAGGTAAAAGTTTGAATTCTACTTAAAAAAAAAAGAAAGAAAAGAAAAACCTTCTGTTTTAGTTCTTAAAGTGCAGTTGTGTTTAAGTTTAGCTTAATTACTATTATTAAAATGACTATGCAGAACAAAGGGAAGCTAAGGACACCAAGGATATCTGCAAAAAATGGTTCCCGTTTGTCCAGTAAAAACAAAAACTTCCAGAGAGGCTTTTGGGTGCTGGATGACCTTTCCCTCAGTTGAGTGAATTGCTAAAACATTTTTTCAATCCACAGCAGATTCCAACCAAGAATAGGAACAAAACCAACACAGTCAGAAAACAAGCCATTCCGAGGCAGCGTTAGGACAGGACACTTTTCTTTAACGTCACCAACATTAGCTCTAACATGACACCTTAACTCCTATTATCACTCCTTAGAGGTGTGTTTGCAGGCTTGCTCGACAAGTAGAGATCAAAGTGGTCATCTGCCATTATTTTCACCCTCAAAGCTCAAAGTAAAGGGTTTGGTCCCCATTTAAACACAAATAAATCCTAAACTGAGTGGCTTTAAACTCTCCAACCATTGTTACTTATCTGAAAAGTTTCTCAAATAGCAATAAGACCACAGTCTTCAGACAGAAGGCAATACCTTAAAAATAAAGACAAAAAGAAGGTTGAGAGATGCAAATTTATTTTGAAAAGGGGGGGATTGTGAGTGAAAATAGGTTCTCCAGAGGCTGTCCACTCAGGAGCCCCACTATAGTCATAGGGAGGGATGCATGTGAAGCTCTGAAAGCAAATATCTGATCAATGACTCACAGCAGACACCCAAGCTTAGATATACAAACAGGCCACAGAGAACCGTTCTCCCAAGATCAATTAGAAAACTAAAACTAAAGCAGGTCTAGGCCCTCTGGTAGCTCCTGGAGGCAGCAGCTCCAGTCAATTCTGCATGCATTATGCATTTATCTGCAGAGGTTACATGTTTGCAGCTACTGAAATGCAGATGGGCCGTTAACCATGACCACGTGGTGGAGCTCAAGCCTCCTTACCATTCATTTTTTATTAGAAATGCTGAAAACCCACCAACAAACATCAGCCACGCAAGCAGCTGATCGAACCAATTTATTACAAACCACATCTGCAGAGGTTATACTTGCTTCAACACATTTATTCTTAAACACTCTCAACCTGAGCAAACATCTCTGCTTACTGGGTTACATTGTAAGCCAATGCTGGGTGGTCTAACAAAACAATCTTGTCGTGTAGAAGATATGCCCATGCCTCCTCTGCAGACACTGTGGTTTGGACTTTTATTTATAAGAAAGCGCGTTCAAAAATGCCGGATGATCCCTTTCAGACTAACATAAGGGTTTTCACACCACATCAGCCAACACAGCCCGCCACACCCAGACACAGTCTAGAAGCTGGCCTGCAATCCTCCCCTAGATGACAGCTCCATTGGAGTCAAATCAAATTATGAATTAATCCTTTTATTATCATATATTTCAGAAGTCTTATCTAATTGTTTTTTTTATGTTATTCTTTTGGGTTTTACATAATGACAAAACCTCGTCCTTCATGAATTCAAAGGGACCTGAAATGAGCACAAAATGTGAAAGTCTGAATATATTCTAATAAAAATAGAGGGAAAACTGATCAAAACAGACTCGTGTTTGAATTAATAAGGCAAGTAGCCTGTAATTACTACAAGTTAAATGCACTAAGTTAACTTTACTTTGCTTTATTCTACCTTTAAAAATCATTTAATAGTGTAAATAGTTTATCTGCTTGCAGATTCTGATAAACACTTAAAGGTTTTGGTGATCAGGTGGCATTTCTATTCATTACTTAAAAACCTATAAACGCTAAAGGCAGTTTAGGAGTTGCCATATATTCAGCTGAATGCTTGAAACAATGCCAGGAAGTAAAGTAATCAGCAAGCAGCAGCTGCCCCTAAATGTAAAATAAGCCCCAACCCATCAGTGTCTCACTCCACAGGAATAAACATGTTTAAACTTAGTAATCAAATAGGTTCCCGGTTTGCTATAAAGTATAAATATGTCTAATTTTAATAATGTTTGAGAAAAACCACCTTTTTAGGCCATTAAGTTAGCATTTAATACAGCATAAACAATTGTTTAAATAGAAAACACTTTTTACTTAGCATATTGTAAAAATATATATATATATTGCCCTTTGAGTGATGGAAAGAAAAAAAAGCTAAATTGATTTTAAAGAGATTGGCAGCATATCAATTTATTGTAAACTGGTTGATAAGACCATTAACTTATACACCATTTGCACTACCCTTGAAAAACCGATCCATGTCGAGTCGAGACCGGTCCGAGCTCAGATCTGACGACCGTTTACACATCACGCTATCTCGGTTCCTCGAATCCTAGCCTCCTAGTGACGATCTGCGGTATTACTGCCAGTATTGAAGGAGGAAATCAAGCAGTTGGTGGCGGTAATGCACCAAAAGTTGTTTGCCAACCACCATAAAACACAAGAAGAAGAAGACGAAGAAGGAGGGAATCAAGCAAATCAAAATGGCGGCGCCCGTCACATTCAAAGGTTATGCTTGATTATTATTGCTGTACTTCGGTGTTATTATTTAAAATGTTGCGTGGAGAAGATTTCGATTGTTGTTTATAGTTGTTCTTCTTCTTCTGTTTTGTGTTGGTTGGCAAGCAACTTCCAGAGGGGCATTACCGCCAACTACTGGAATGGAGTGTAAATCTGGATGTGCAGCCAGACGGAGATGACGCGTTCTGCTCATGCGCTCTTGTTATCAGAGAACCGAGGCAGGGAAAAACCGAGCCGAGCCCACCTCTGGAACTGGTCTGCAGTTAGCGCGGTCCGATTGTGTCTAGCTCGGTTCAGTTCAGTTTGCTTTCCATTTACACATGATAAGTTATCTCAGTTACTGAGCTCGGACCGGTCTTGGCACGGTTTTTCAAGGGTAGTGTAAATGGGGTATTTATCTATAACTTGCATCAATAATAAAAGCAAATATTTGCAATAACTCTTCAATTCTCTAAATGCAGATATTTCTGTTTCACTACAGTAAATACAAGATAGCAGCGATGGATTCTAGCCAGTAGTGAAGATCAGAGAATTTAAAGCATCGCAGTGACAATAGAATGGATTTATCTCTCCACAACAATACTACTGCAAATGCTCAAACTCTATCAACGCCTACCGGCTACCTGACCAAACTAATTAAAATATTCAGTGCAGATCAGGGAACTATAAAAGTAACAGTAGAGGACAGACAGAGCTCAACATGAAGTGTCTCTAAACTCAGGGTGAGCTGTGTTTTTCTCTTTGCTTTTTTACATTCACTGTTCTTGTCAAGCATCGTCCTGTAGGCAACGGCTCATTTCAGTTGCACTGAGATGCAGAAAAGTAGTTTCTCACAGATGATTTATTTTTTTTGTGCATCCTGCTGCTTGATTGTCCATAAACCTAAACAGCATTCCCTTTTAGTTTTACTTGCATCCCCAATTTCCATCCCTTCCCTTGGAATGATATCGAACCATTGCGACGAATCATGAGGTGAGGCTACTCTGGGGATAACTGAATATGCATTTGGTAACAACTTCTGCAGATAAAGAGCTGCACATTAACCGTTTCCTCCACAAACAGATCTGCAGTCTGTATCAAATGAAAAAACCCTTTAGATTTGAAGCCTGCACAGCCTAGTGCTGGGGTATTATGCCTCACCAGTGAAGAAAATAACAGAAAAAGGTGTTAAGCAAAGAAAGGCATTTTTAGAAACGTTGATGCCTGCTGGTTGGGTTACGGTCGGTCACTCACTTGCGTGTTTGTCTGCCAGAGCGATGAGTGTGCTGGAGATGTCCCTGCGCCGGTAAAAACACACCACTTTGGCCTCCACGTTCCCATTGGCTGTCTGCAAACCAGAGACAATTGGCGTTACCAAGGCAACAAGTGGTGCCGCACAAAAAAAAACCAACACATGAGCGCGTGAACACACACACACACGCTCACAGAGTAAAATTTTAAAAAGAAAACGAGGACCAAGACTTGTTTTTTTAATTCGGTTATTCCCCTGGTCAAGCAGAAAGATTAAAAGATGGTTTTATGTTATGAGGAGTTGAGGCTGAATTAGGTTGTATTGAAAACTCAAAAAGAACAGATTAAGAATTAAAATTATTTTAAACCTCAACTGAAATAGGAAGCTGTGATAATTCTGCAGAAATGAGTACAGCACACTCCTTTATTAGACATTAAATAATTTATATCCAATGGAAAAACAACCTCAGTGAGAACAGATGGGGAAGCCTACCAAATGGGCCCTGTGCAGCTGTAAAAATGTTAAAACTAAATTATTATTTGTCGGCAACTTCAAGAGAAGCTTCACGTTAGATGGTAAAGATGCACTGAAAAACCTGCAGCTGAACAAAAATTTATAATTTCACAAATTATTTACTAAATTCGCAAATTTAATCAGCTCTAAACATCATCCAGTGGGTCAGTAATCGCCTAATCTAATGAATGTACAATACCAAAGCTAAACCAGATCACTTTAACAACAACAATCTTCAGCGTAGATGCCGTTCCTGAGCAGAGGATAACTCTAATTAGCCATTTTCAGAGGCTTTAATAAGGCTGGAAGAAAGGAAGAGAGAGGGTGACTTCCAGAAGATAACAGGAAGGTGTAAAGTTGTTTTCTTTTATTTATATCAAATATTTAACCTCCGTTTATCATTGAACATGCTGGGTCCTGAAATGTTATAAGCAATTAAGAAGGAATACATTAATACTATTGTAGCATTGCTAGTCATGCTAACCATTGATGAAGGACACATAAAACCTGTTAAAAAGGTCAACTCCATATGAATTAATAGCTAGGTAACCTTTTATTCAGAAGACCATGTCTGAATATATAAAATATTCATATCACAAACTAATTATAAAAATATAATATTTATATTAAAAACTATTCATTACATGCAGTTTTATTTGTCAGAAGTTCTCCCTTTTTAATAGTATTTTTCCATGTGCATCTCAGTCATGCTTAAACCTGAATCTAAATCCCTAACTGGAGGAGACCGACGGTGACAGGCAGAGGAGAAAGATGAAACTGTGATCTGTGTCAATCCAACAAAAGTGCTCCCAGATTTTCCATCAGAGGCTCTGCTGACTGGGGACTGACACCAGGCCCGTGTCAAAAACGTTCAACTCAGATTCATCCGCCTCTTTTTACACCCACCTTTAATATTGTATAACTGTTTTTGGTCATTGGTAGGATTTTTCTTTTTTTTTTTATTATACTTTTAAGTCTTCAAGGAGTAACAAAACGGTAATTAGTTTTTAATTTTAAAGTTCTAGCTTGGAAAGTTCCTACTTTACAAGAACTAAAATGGTAGAATCCCTGGGAAGTCTCACCAGCCCTTATACATACAGTTTTTGACAAAGCAGTAACACCACCTACTTAAACTACAAACAAAGTAAAGAACCGATCAATGAGAAAAAAGGTTGGTTCCAGAGTAACTGCAAGAGCAATCTGCAGGAACATCAAACCAAGTATTATTTGCAATACTGGATGAGAGAACAAACATCTCTTTTCTGTATTGGCCTGTTTAACTTTAACAAAGAACCTCCCAATCCAACCATGGTCCAAATAAACTCAGGTATTGAACCCTGTTGTTGACTTCTTATTACAAATCATGTCAATATTTTCATTGTTATTTTGCATTTAAACTGAGTTTCTCCAATTAGCCAAGTAATTTTTTACCAAAGTTAAAGTGATTTGTATTGGTTTTTGCAGTTTACGCCTCTGCACTAAGAAGTCACCGTCCAAAGTTTAGAAAAATATAAGAATTAGAAACTGGAAACTGCACTGACATAATGATAAGGGATGATTTGTGGGATACGAAAAATGCGAATGGAATTGCAAAATTTTGACAGAACAGGATTCCTGACACCTTTACAACACCTGATTGGCTGAAAGCATAAGGATAGATATGATTATCACTTAAAACACTCACACAGGGAACAAGCAGAAAAAGCAAGCTTACATTATCCAGTTAAAGCTTCAAACTCCTGAACATTTCACTAAAGCAGTGGAGGCATGGCTAAAGTTTATTGTTGTCATGTGCCAAGTCAATTTTTTCATTGGGAAAAAATAAGGTTTTATCAAATGTCAAAATACGAGAGAAAAACTTTTTTTTTGAGGAATTGGTGGCTAATTAATAAAGCATTAGTTGATAAGAACAGTCAACTTTAGCTGAATTAACATCAATAATATGATTCCCAGTTGTGGGATTAGAGACGCATTCAACCTCTGACAAGCACTCACCTTGTTCAGCTCCTCTATCCTCCTGATCAGCAGTGGGTTGCTGGACGAGTTCTCAAAATAAACATAATCTGCAGCATGAGAGAAAGGAAAAGGAGACAAAAAGAAAAATTTTTTTTTTTTTAAATATTATGTCAACCATCAATTTAGAGACACTCAGCAAAGCAGGGTGTCTGTATTTGGACAGTTTCATTAATGAGTCTCCATCCGATATATCTAGAAAATGTCAGTTCAACTTAATTGGGCTAATTTCAAACAAAGAAGGCCTAATTGTAGTCAGGAAGGCTGAGTGAATGAGATGTTGATGCACATTTAAACACAAAACAAATCTGTTGCTGCAAACCTTCAATTCAGCCTGCAAACCTTGAATTTCCTCACCCTCATGCTCTCTTTGTCTTTTGCTCCATTCATTCTCCTTCTGTTTGGTGTTGTTTGCATGCAGCGTAGGTCTAGGCTTGTGTGGGTGTGATGAGAGCCTGTATAAGCTTAAACATGTGTGTGTGTGTGTGTGGCTCCTGGCACAGCTCCAGGCCCATTGGAGGCTTAGCTCTCACCAGGATGTCCCCACAGGCCCCTGTCTTGGTAGGGTGCCTGGTCTTAGCCCTGCATGCGTCTTGGCTGAGTGTTTTCAGATTATACCCAGAACTTGGTAAGTTGCCTGGTGCTGAAGCTCTGTCCAATGCAATATTCAACCCCCCTTACGCTTTACTCTTGACCGCAGACTGCTTGGATCGTAAGATTTTTAACCAGTTAGTTTCCCACTATGAAAAGGTCCAGAACAAACCGGTTTAGGCACAGACCCAACACGTATTCACGATGTGAGCAACAGCTAAAACCTCTGGATTAAGGTGAAATATATTTTAGTATCATAACACAATATGATCGTAAAACATATTTAATAACAATTTTTAAAAAAGGACTGCACAATTCTAAATAAAAATAAACAAACAAAAGAATTCAAAACAATCCAAATAAAAAAGCTAATAGTAAGTTTTGGAAAATTAGCAGACTTAAATATTTTTTTGTGATGTTCAACCTTGAACTTAAAGATAGTGAAAGGAGGAGGGAATAAGCCGCATCTTCTGTTGTCTATAATTATTCGTACAGCTTGCAGATTTTGGTTCAAGTACTAATGCTTTCACTTAAAAATCATGTTTCTAACGACTGGAGGCAACACTAACATACTGGAGCAGCCCAGTATAAATCTTCAGAACCAGAAGCGTCAGAAAGATGAAGGCAAGGACGTCATCAAATTGGAAACCATTTCACTTAAAGATAAAAGGGTAAAACATTAGAGATGTACTCCAATTTTTCCCGATCCAACCGATACTGATACCTGGGCTGAATGTGTATTTGATACCAATCTGATTCAACTGCTGAATGAATGAACCATATATCTCGCCATGTTAGGGAATTAACTAGGGGTGTAAATCACACCGATGGTGATTCGATTTACTATCAATTTCCTGACCCACCGATTTGATTATTTTCAATACTTAAGAATACACGACGATATGGATTCAATTCGATTAATTGGTTTTTGTTTTGTTTTTTTACCTTACAGGCTAGACAATGTTTCAAATCTGAAATATATCTATGAAAGCCGTAATATTATTATGCATTTTATTTGATAAACAACAGCAAATAACAGAAGTACCAAAGCTGTTCCAGGAGCAAATGCACAAAAAGAGTCGATCCTCTTGCGGACGTGTCGATGCATCGGATCGTGGGCTGTTGGATCGATGCATCGATATAAAACGATTATCATTTACACTCCTAGAACTAAGAATTAAACACAGATATGAATGTACTTTATATTATTAATCAATAAATTAGCAGTAAAAAGTAAGGAATAACAGTTCCATGTAAAGAGCATTGGATTGGTTTAGGGCTGAATGATTAATTGCATTTTCAATAATTTTGCAATTGAGTAAAACGAGATTTTCTAACCGCAAAGGCTGCAATTTGATGGGTCACCTGACTAGAGGTGACTTGCTTGAAAAGTAGAACGGAGAGAAATTAAATTCTCGTATGCAAGTAACCTGCTGAAGAATGGCCTCAGACTCGTCAATAACCAGCAAAACTGAAGGTCTGGTACCAAAGAGGAGCAGTACGTCACGTGGCAGGAGTGGTACGTCACGTGGCAGGAGCGGTATGGAGAGATATTTGTGCCATCGGTTTGAGCGCGCAGGAACCAATCCGAGCGCGCAGTGAGACAACACGCGCGCGCGCAAAACCGGTCTGGCGCGCGCTCAACTCTGAAAAACCCTCTCAACACACTGTTCTCGCGCTCAGTTTCATCTCTGCGCGTGCTCGAATCCGTCTCTGCTCGCGCTCGCTCGACCTGCTCTCTCTCCGCGCTCAACACCAGCTGTGCGCTCGGCTGTTTCTCCGCTCGCTCGACTCTCTGCGCTCGCAACTTCAGCAATGTATGTAAATGAACCATACCATCAGCCAATCACACTCAGCTTCTTTTCATCCAATGAAAGCATTCCTTCCTTCTTCTTCTTCTTTTCTATCATGGCGGATCGCAAGCAACTTTAAGGTGCATACCGCCACCTACTGTTCATGAGTGTGTAGCAACATTGTTTTACATCTATTAAATTCTATTTTTTAATTTTGCATTCTGAAGATAACTAAATAATGCTTTCCTTAATCTATAAACATCCTTTATATTTCCTTTATTTCCCAATAATCCTTTAAGACTCCATTCTTGGCCTGTCATTTCAACTACTCTTCTCAATTTTTCCCTTTCAGGTTCATATGTTTTACAGTTCATTAATATGTAAGCATTCGTTCCAAATACTACATCCGGTTAGATGAAAAAAAATACATAAATAAATAAAAACACAATCAGGAAAATCAAACAACTCTTACAGTTATTTTGTCAACATTCCTAAGATAGTACTATAAAATATCTTGAATTATCTCAAATAAACTTCAGTAAAACAGTTATTAGATCATTGCCTCATCCATCTCTTTTACCTGCTATTGACATGGATTTAAATTTGATGTTTTAAAAGAAAAATAAGGAGGATATTTCAGGTTCCAGTATGGTTCAACAATATATAGATAAAAAATATTATGGATATGTTAAATTTTTTATGGATGCTTCAAAATATTCCAATATTAGGAATGGTGTTTTGTTTTAGTTTCATAATTTATTTTTAAATCGGGTAAAAGAATCAGTGATGGAATTCAGCCTACAAAGGAGAAATGTTTTGGATCATATTGGCCTTACAATGGATTGAAGAAATCGTTCCATTAAGAAGTTTAGTTTGCTCTGATTTTAGATCAGCGACCGTTATATTAATTTAAACGCAATTATTCAGACAGCAGACCTGATCTGAAATTTAACAATTATTATTTAGAAGACCTTTTACAGATGGACTCTAAATAAGAGGGTTATTCTTTATTATATATATTAAAAAGAATAATTTGATAAACAGGATTTTTCAGTTGGTGGCGGTAATTGTTGTTTGCCAACCTCCATAAAAAACAACAAAAAGAAGAAACACCCGCCACAAAAGCTAAGAGTAAGGCCAATATGATCCAAAACATTATCTATATACTGTTGAACCATACTGGAACCTGAAATATCCTCCTTATTTTTCTTTTAAAACAGCAAATTTAAATCCATGTCAATAGCAGGTAAAAGAGATGGATGAGGCAATGATCTAATAACTGTTTTACTGAAGTTTATTTGAGATAATTCAAGATATTTTATAGTACTATCTTAGGAATGTTGACAAAATAACTGTAAGAGTAGTTTGATTTTCCTGATTGTGTTTTTATTTATATATTTATTTTTTTTTCATCTAACCGGATGTAGTATTTGGAACGAATGCTTACATATTAATGAACTGTAAAACATATGAACCTGAAAGGGAAAAATTGAGAAGAGTAGTTGAAATGACAGGCCAAGAATGGAGTCTTAAAGGATTATTGGGAAATAAAGGAAATATAAAGGATGTTTATAGATTAAGGAAAGCATTATTTAGTTATCTTCAGAATGCAAAATTAAAAAATAGAATTTAATAGATGTAAAACAATGTTGCTACACACTCATGAACAGTAGGTGGCGGTATGCACCTTGAAGTTGCTTGCGAACCGCCATGATAGAAAAGAAGAAGAAGGAAGGAATGCTTTCATTGGATGAAAAGAAGCTGGGTGTGATTGGCTGATGGTATGGTTCATTTACATACATTGCTGAAGTTGCGAGCGCAGAGAGTCGAGCGAGCGGAGAAACAGCCGAGCGCACAGCTGGTGTTGAGCGCAGAGAGAGAGCAGGAGAGCAAGCGCGAGCAGAGACGGATTCGAGCACGCGCAGAGATGAAACTGAGCGCGAGAACAGTGTGTTGAGAGGGTTTTTCAGAGTTGAGCGCGCGCCAGACCGGTTTTGCGCGCGCGCGTGTTGTCTCACTGCGCGCTCGGATTGGTTCCTGCGCGCTCAAACCGATGGCACAAATATCTCTCCATAGAGCGGTACATCACTTGGCAGGAGCGGTACGTCACTTGGCAGGAGCGGTACGTCACTTAGCAGGAGCGGTGCGTCACTTAGCAGGAGCGGTGCGTCACTTAGCAGGAGCGGTGCGTCACTTAGCAGGAGCGGTGCGTCACTTAGCAGGAGCGGTGCGTCACTTAGCAGCAGCGGTGCGTCACTTAGCAGCAGCGGTGCGTCACTTAGCAGCAGCGGTGCGTCACTTAGCAGCAGCGGTGCGTCACTTAGCAGGAGCGGTACGTCACTTAGAAGCAGCGGTACGTCACTTAGAAGCAGCGGTACGTCACTTAGAAGCAGCGGTACGTCACTTAGAAGCAGCGGTACGTCACTTAGAAGCAGCGGTACGTCACTTAGAAGCAGCGGTGCGTCACTTAGCAGGAGCGGTGCGTCACTTAGCAGGAGCGGTGCGTCACTTAGCAGGAGCGGTTTGTCACTTAGCAGGAGCGGTACGTCACGTAAGCAGGAGCGGTACGTCACGTAAGCAGGAGCGGTACGTCACGTAAGCAGGAGCGGTACGTCACGTAAGCAGGAGCGGTACGTCACGTAAGCAGGAGCGGCACGTCACGTAGC